AAATAGCACGACCACAATACCTGCAAGCCAACTATTGCAACAACAAAAAAATTAATTAATAAAAAATTGCACAATGTTTTTCAAGATACCAAAAGGAAGAAAGGTACATTGATTTGATCTGGGCTGCGTTTCCCGAAACCTTCTTAACGCTACGTCGTTCGTAAGTTATACCTTAAGTTGTACCTTTACGTTAATACGTGTTTCCCGAAACGTTCTTAGTTAAGTATACCTTCCGTAAGTCATTCGTTCGTAAGATTAGTCTGGACCCTTCTTAGCTATACCTTATCGCTGTTCACAGTTCTGCTAACGTCACACGTAAGAAGGTTTACCTTAAGCAACATCCTAAGGTATAGTTCGGGGAACACGCCTAGAACAGGTATACCTTTAGAGTCTTCGTAGAGAGCTAAGAGACAACGTTATCGGGAAACGCAGCCCTGATCACTTCAGCATTGATGCAAACTGCCCACTACATACTACACACATTGTACAAAGTACTACAAGTAGATGTAATAAGTGAAAATACTTTGCTGGAACTCACAGTGAAATCAATGGTGTGCTTATAGTCACAGCGCCCCCCGACACTTGGAGGATTAAGCAGACAGTCAATGCCATAAATCATTCCTCCATTGAAATCAAGGTTTCTCTTTACAATCCAACAGCTTTTATGGTTCACATAAAGCTCCCCCTGAGGGGTAAATATGCATGATATGATGTATAGTTATTAAAGAAACAGCTTTTTGAATGCACAAGGCAAATGTTTTTTTTTTTCTCCAAAAGTACTCACGATATGCTCTTCCCCCATGCAGGCCACTGACAGATCTGAGCCCTGTTGAGTCTTTAAAGAGCTGGCATGGATAAGCTCTGAGGGCAAGAGCTAGTAGACACAATAAATTGCAATACATTTAAATGATGAATTAGGGAGTCAACACTGAATTTCCTGTCATACTATATTAGTCTTGCCCTGCGTCTCAATGTTCATACTATCCATCCTAAATAGTATGTGAGATGAGAATAAGTGTGTCCCAAAGCATAGTATGTTGAAAAGAGTATGCCAAAACAAAAGTCCCCAGATGGTCTACTATTTCAGGTCGATTTTTGAAGTGTGGATCCGTGCACACTCTATTGGCTAATATTGCCCACAATCCATTGTGCTTTGGTGAAGAATTCTGTCCAGAACTACAAACACGAATAAAACGCGTTAAAAACTACAAACATGGTGGATGTGCGCGACCGGTGGTTAAGTAGAGAGACTAATGGTGCGTTCAAGTCATGTCGGATAGATCGTATTTACGAGTTGAACGCAACCACAAAGTCGTTATTGCGAGTGGGAAACTCGAAATTTTCTTTAAGCCCCGAGTTTCCGAGTTGGGGGCGTGTCAATGAGAAACATGGCAGAATCGATGGATGCAACGTCTGGTAAATTTTTGTTTAAATTGATAGTTTAGTTGTCCTATAAACTTAAATTGGTCATGTTCTTGTTACGCAGCTAGTTAATGAAATCAAAGTTAAAAAATGCTATCATTTTTGCACCTATAGGTGAAAAATCTTTTG